GTTCCAGAAGCCCTACTCTCTACGCTGGACATGGGAGTCTCCTGGTGGACAATTCCATAACGAGATCGACCACATCATCTGCAATCGAAGGTTTTGCCTAATCGATGTCGCTGTTGTCCCTAAGTTCTACACGGGATCCGACCATCGCCTCCTTCGCGCAAGATTCCGCTTTTCGATGCGAGGAGAGAGAGCCGCAAAGTTCAAGAAGCGAAGCCCAAAGACCTTCATCAACTGGGATCACTTCACTTCTCTCGCTGGGCTCTGGGAGGATTCTGTCATCGACAACATCGACGAGGAATACGAACGGCTTGTTGCACATCTTCACGACTGCGCCAAGAAGTCAGAGGGTTCCAAGATTACCAAGAAGCGTCTATCTCTGGAAACTCTCGAGCTGATTCGCCAACGTGGAGCCGCACGAGCCGCAGGCAATTACCAGCTGACGTCTGAGCTTGCGAAGCTATGCAGAGGAGCGATAAAAGAAGACCTCAAGGAGAGAAGAGCAGCAGTATTGGTGGAAGCCGCAGAGGCTGGGAAGAGCATACGCAACGCCCGCCGCGACTTCGCCAACTGTAAGACCAAGATGACCGCCCTCCGGCGTCGTCCGGATGGAACAATCACCGCATCCAGAAGGGCAATGGAGAAGGTCATCCACGACTTCTACTCGGATCTCTTCGACAGCCACGTCCACCTGCAACCATACCGCTTGGAGCAGGATGGATATGTCGTTCCTGCAGTTCTCCGAAACCTTCCGGGAAGTCCGACCGCCATATCTCGTCGCCGTGAAGAACGTACGGCTCGCGCGGTCCGACAGGATCAGACCCCGAACCATTCTGAAGGTAATCTTCCGCCAGTTCTCGTCAAACTCGTGGTGACTCTTCACGCGCTCTATCCCTGTACCGGAATGCAATTGTCCCACCTCGTGGAAAACCAGCAAGACTGTGTTGCTGTACAAGAAGGGAGACCTGTACGGACATTGGCAATTATCGCCCAATCTGCCTGCTGTCTGTAGTCTACAAACTCTTCACACGAGTCATCCTGAATAGGATTGGCAGAACACTAGACGAAGGACAGCCATGCGAGCAAGCAGGGTTTCGAAGAGGATTCAGATCGATCACATCCACACGGTAACGAAGCTCATCGAAGTATCGCGAGAGTACAAGATGCCGCTATGTCTCACGTTCATCGACTTGAAGAAAGCCTTCGACTCCGTTGAGACAGAAGCGGTTATCGAAGCCCTGGGCAACCAGGGTATTCCTACTCAGTACATCAGGATTCTTCGTGAGCTCTACAGCAACTTCACGACCAAGATCTCACCATTCTACAAGGAGATCATCATTGATGTGAAGAGAGGGGTCCGACAGGGCGACACCATCTCGCCCAAGCTCTTCAGCGCCTCTCTCGAGAACGTCATGCGTCAACTGGAATGGGAAGACATGGGAGTGAAGATCGACGGTCGGCAACTACACCATCTCCGCTTTGCTGACGACATCGTTTTGATAACACCAAACATCGAGCAAGCGGAACGAATGCTGGCTGAATTCGACTGCGCGTGTGGAGGTCGTGGAAAAATCGGTCTACGGCTGAACCTAACGAAGACGATGTTCATGAGAAACGGATTGGTATCTGATGCCCCATTCACGCTCAACGGAACGACCATCTCTGAATGCTTATATGTGTACCTAAGCGTCGTGAAATCAATATGCATGAATGGGGTGACCTAGCTCCAGAAGCTTGAGCAGGAGGAAGCGAGCGGCTTGGGGAGCCTTCAAGAACATCGAGGGAGTAGCGAAGAAGACGAAGAACACCAAGCTCCGTGCCCACCTCTTCGATTCCGCGGTCCTTCCTGCCTTGACGTACGCCTCAGAGACTTGGACTCTACGAAAGCAGGATGAGCATGCGGTCGGCGTTATTCAACGCGCCATCGAAAGGGCGATGCTCGGAGTTTCCCGCTACACGCAAGTGAGAGAGGGAATCCGGAGCTCCGCACTCCGCCAACGATCGAAGATCAGAGACGCCGCCGCATTTGCCAAGGCTTCGAAGATCAGGTGGGCTGGACACGTCATGCGTTTCGAGGACGACCGCTGGACCAGAGCTGTCACCGACTGGATTCCACGGGATGTCAAGCGAAGACCGCTGGGGACGGACCGCCTATGCGATGGTCAGACTTCTTCGTGAAAGCTCTGAACGAACGGTATGAAGTTCATCGTGTCCCTCGAGCTGAGAGAGTTCATTGGGCAACTCTTGCACGTTGCAGGGACGAATGGAGACGTTACTGGCGCCCGCTCGAGGAACTCGATGATCAACGGGAGCACAGGTGATACACAGACCTGGTGAACTTCTTCAAATACATAAACTTCGTCTAACGATCAATGCAAATCTCGTGACCATTCTATATGATGAACTTCGTCATGAAAAAACCAGACTGGAAATTTTTACAAGGGCAGAATGAAGCTTGCCACACTTTACGACTCCCTTCATTCCTGCCATTAGAGAAACCAGTGTCATTTTAGTAGGCAGTTCATCATAATACCACCGAAGTGCCCGCCTTTAATCACTCAGAATGTTTGACGCTTGTTTTTTGGGCTCCATAAAGGAAAGGGCCAGGCAAACCGAGCAAGGATGCCTGCCGAGGAGATGGGTAAGGTACTCTTGGTCACTACGTCATCGCTGGGTATATTTCGCATTTTCTTTCTTACGGTGAGTTTTGTCTCACATCCCAGGAGGGCATAGCTTTTCGAACTCTGACAGTTTTAGGGGCTGTATCTGACCTGAGAAGGATAGTGCACAGCGGATTTTACGTTTTTTTGAGAGTTTTAACGAGTAAGTTACGCTTAACCTGTTACCATGGCCAAAGCAACGTTTTCAAGGATCCGTCAGAAATTGGCATGGCCCGCGCTCAAGAGGGCGCTTACCGTGCTCATTTGCCAAATCAACAGGTCTAACCCTGGTGAGACGTGTAAACACTCGCGAAGCTGCCAAGTGGTACAAGTGAGTTACTTTATTAACAGGAATTCACTAGTCATCCCATGGCTTGTGAATTCCTGCACGTGGCCTGCACAACCGCTGAGCCCCCTCCTAGCCGAACTGCGACGGAAAATGTAATGATATACTATAGAGTAGAGATCTAGAAGCAGAAGCAGGGGTGAGAAAGTTTTAGGAACTTGGCTAAACGAACCATCGTCGCCTCTGTTCGCAACAGCGACAAAACCTGCTGGCGTCGCTAAAACAGACTGTTTGCAATGGTAAGAGTAAGGGTAAGGATAAGGTAAGCTTACCCAATGACAATGTACGCATCGGATGAACACGATCATGAGCGATGAGATCTTCTTTAACGTAGTGATAAACTATTCCAGCACCGAATGCATCTCCAAGCACGTTGATAGAAGTGCGAATACGATCTCTGAACAATTTTAGAATTACGTGGACCAATCAGTAGGCCAAATTGCCCGCTTCTAATAGGACTAAACTATTGGTTTGGGAAAAAACAGGTGGGGGTACCGGCTAAAACCCAAATGCCGCTGTAAATCTGCCGAAGCGTAGGAGCGCCGAGCTTGCAAGACACCTCAATCCACGCCTAGGCGAAACCCAATTACAGCTGCAGAGCGAAATAAGCGTCGCTCTCGCTTCCTGGCCTCATCCTAGAGCTTCAAACCATTCTGGACCTGATGGTTGAGGTTCAATCAAGTCAGTCCGTGTGGAACTGAACCATGATCGACCACTTTCGGTTACATCGCCCGTGACATACTGTGCAGCCTTCCGCTGTAGGTTTCAGTGAGTAATTGTTCATCTGTGTTATTCTTTCATTGGCGCCTCGGAATTGAGAATGGGCTGCCTCGGTTTCTTTTTGTTGTTTCAGTATTCCCCTTTTCAGTTCTAGAACCACGGCACTCCTACGAATTTGCGATACCCGAGAACTCAACCTTGCTTAGCGCCAATAAAAACCCTGTAAAGACGTAATCTCAACTTACAATAACCAATCAACAGCAACAATCAGTGAGACGTCCTTCACAGGAAGTCCGACAGCTGTGAGCACGAGTAGCATTGTGACCAGACAGACCGGCAGAGGGCACCGATGCTGCACCAATAGAAGCCAAAGTGGCAGTGAGACTGAAGGGAACGAAATGAGAGACTAAAAGCCTAGCGTCGGCATCAATAGACTCACCTGACGGTAACGACTTGTCCAAATGACAAATTAACTCCATTCATTTGAGCGATGAAGATGGCCGCAACCGCTTCGTACAGCGCTGTTCCATCCTATAATCCTTGGACATTTTATATTTGACCTAGAAATTTTTAATAATTTTGAGGCGCTGTGGGGCCTAGGGAGGAGGGGGTGGACGGGGCACTTTGCACACTCACTAGTTTATGCTGTTAGTTCCTGCTGAAATACCCGTATCGCGCTTAGTTAGACTGTGATGTGTGAGGGCGGAGGGGTCGTATAAAAAGACCTCTGCAGGGTCGTATTTGCTCTTGAAAAAAAAAATTTTCGATTGTTGACTTTTCTCGCATCTCCCCCTCACCATTCCGTCGTGCCTCCGTGAAGGTAGCTTCTTAGGCAAAAACTGGTGAATGCTGGTGAGAGAAAGGAAGGTGGTAGACAGGACGGACAAAGGAGTAGGGCGGGTCGTACCACAGAAGAAAATTTTGAGGGGGGGGGGTGTGTTTGAATATTCTTCCACAACAGCAGGGCGTGCCTTCTTCCCTGTGTCATCAACATTTCTCGGCCAACCGTATAATGTGGATTTTAGTGTTCCTTTCACAAAGCTTCAGATCTTAGGCAATCTCAGTCTTTCAAAAGATCACTTCACCATGTTGATAGTTGCTCCCACGGGCAGAACGAATCGCGTCACCCGTCGATCAACTCCGAGGTTCTCCTCCAAGCAATTGTAGGTGATGGGTAAAGTAGCAGAGCTGAAAGCGTACCACTGGTAGTCATTATATGAGCTTGACAAATAAATGAAAAGTATACCTAGACGCTGTTCCAAGAGCCGTGATCCATGCTTGAAGTAGACCTCGCATAAACGTGAAAGGGTTTTTGTGAGTAGTTAGGAAGAATATGAGGGGAAGAGAAATAAGCGAGTGTACAGCTAATCCGGTTAGAACCTGAAAATTCAGAAGATTTTCCTGAGCAAGATTTTTGAAACGAACTTCCTTTTTTATCGTCTCTTATTCAGCGTTTTTTTATGAAAGGGGAGCAATAGTGGTAAACTCGTTGTTGGTCACCTACTCAATTTATACAGCTACACCATTTTCAAGGCACTTTCCCCAATAAAATAAGGCTATAACCTCTTAAATGTGTCAGATGATCCGGTAGGCGATTGTAGAGGTTGCACTGCATTCAAAACTTGGAAAATGGCACGCAAAGCACAGTAAATTTCGATTTTAGGCC